ATCATGATAATTGTTCTTGATTTGTAGTATTAATATCTGATGACTTGTTAGATAAAATATGATGTTGTTGTACATTTGTAGATGTTACTGTAGTTGAAGTTTGAATACCAATAAGTAATTTTACTTGAGGAGTGACATAAACGAGCATAAAACAAAGAATGATCAAACCAGTCATTATACTGATATTCTGAATGCGATAAAACAATGGTTTTCCTATATCAGTAAAAGGTAACATTAGCTTCAGTACAACAAGAGGAACAACCATCAATGTTAATATACATACAACAAGTATAATCCGACGTATTACAATCACATCACGTTTAGCTCGTGCTGAAACAGTCTTAGAGGATCGACGAATAAAACATGTTAGTTGTATATAAATAATATTGATGATAATAATTGGTATGCCATAAATAATTAGGTTAGAAAAGACGAGCCCACGAGTACTATGAATAGGTATTAAGCAGATATTTTCTATAGATATAAATCGTATCTCATGCCACATATGAATTGGTAGAATAAGAAGAAACGAAATGAGCCATAAAATAGGAATAATCACGGCGTAAGTAAGACTATGTTGTAGCCAAACATGAGAAGGATAGACAACACGAAAGAAGCGAAAAACAGCCTAGAAATTAGTATATGTATTTTAAATTTATTTTGTTAAAATACAAAAAGACTTTCTTTTCTTAAGATCGTAAAGGAAAGTATAACTATTAGCAGTGTACAGAAAGTTTACACTCCACAACAAATTATCCTTGCTTTCATATTAGTTAGTGGGATTTACAGAAGAACGTGTCTGGCATGAAATTGGTTTCCCAATAAGAAGGCATTTATATGTAGGTATTTCATTGAAAAACATGTTATACGGCATATTATGCAAATAATATCTTAGCGGTGACTACGAATGTGATGGAGAAAAAAAAAATAGGAAGTAAAAAAGAGCAATTTTCTGAGAGCTCGAAAAATACATATACAACTTTTCACAAGTAGAGATGCCAAATTTGTTTTTTCATTCTATGATTTTTTTTCGGAAAAAAGAATCTATTATTGCTGAGAAAAATGAAAATTTTCTCGAAGTAGAAGGAAAAAGTGCATACATTCCTACATCTCGACTTGTTTCAAGTTATTTGCCGTACTGAAAATTACTCAAGTGTAGTACATCAAAAACTCAATTATTGTCAGTTG